TATTATGTCTAATTTGTGGAGACCTAATTCAGTTTGGAAACAACTAAGATTTTGATAAAAAAAATCATAGATTCACAATATATATATTTGGTATTGTTTTTCCCAATCAAGGTGCAGCGGCAGCAGTGAATTCTTCTGTGAGGGAATTGTGCTGGCTAGGCAATTCAATTGGTGAATTCAAAGCTTGGTGGAATTTAATTCTATGGGTTTATTTCCGGCAGTCATTGTGTGACTAATTTGGTTCGTTATTTTGGGTCTTCTTCAACTCTGGTTTTGAAGATTTTGGTTCATCTATTTAGTAAGGTCTTTCCTCTTGTTTAATTGTGATTATTTGGAATTCACCTAAGGGTGATTTTGTGAGACCATTCGTGTCTCGTTTGTAATCGTTCAGAAACTTTTTGATTGATAGTGGAATCGGATTTCGATCCCATGGACGTACCTCACATTGAAGGAACCGCGTAAAAATTCTTGTGTTGCCTTTGATTTAATTTTTTCGCATTAATTTTTATTCTCATTGATTGATTTACTTGTAGGGAATCATATATTTTTCCTAACAACTGGTATCAGAGCTTACGGTTTATTTGGGTTTATTTATTTGTGTAAATCAATGGAGGGAATGTGGGTCGTATGTCTAGCTTCAATGGAAGCAATTGGGTAACTTGGATAACTAAAATGGAGGACCTATTATTTTGTAAAGATTTGTATGGACCTATTAAGGGTGATAGTGGCAAACCTGATGACATGAAAGATGATGAGTGGAAGAGGCTTAATCGAAAAGCCGTTGGTGTTATCCGTCAATGAATTGATAACAGTGTGTTTCATCATATTACTACTGAAACTTCGGCACATGATTTATGAAAAAAATTAGAGAGTCTTTATGACAGAAAATCAGCAGGTTCCTCTCATTCGAAAACATTTGTTGTAAGAGGCCGAAGCAAAACAAGGGGGAGGAGTAAGACTCCTCATGGCCGTGATCAAAGCCGTGACAAATCAAAAGATGGTTCAGTTTCAAAGAAAGACATTGAGTGCTATTATTGCCATGAGAAAGTGTGGATAAAAAGCAAGAAGACACAACGGCAGTTACTACCAATGATCTCATGGTTGTTTGTGAAGATGATTGTATCAATTTTGTGGGCCAAGAGAGCAATTGGGTGATTGATTCTGGTGCTTCTTTTCATGTGACTTCTCGAGTTGATTTCTTCACTACCTACACCAAAGGAGATTATGGTTCTGTTCGAATGGGTAATGAAGGTTTGTCCAAGATTATAGGTATGGGTGATGTTTGCTTGGAAACAAATTTGGGCTGCAAGTTGTTGCTTAAAGATGTGAGGCATGTTCCCGACATTCGCCTCAATTTGATCTCTACTGGGAAGCTAGATGATGAAGGCTACAATAACAAATTTGGTGATGGAATATGGAAGCTCATAAAGGGTTCTTTGGTGGTGGCTAAGTGCAAGAAGACTCATACACTTTACTCGATGCAAGGAAAACTTTGTAAAGGTGCTGTCAATTCACTTGAAGATGATGCTTCTACCGAATTGTGGCACAAGCGGCTTGGCCATATGAGTGAAAAGGGGCTACAAGTTTTGTTCAAGAAAGAGCTTCTACCCGATTTGAAAGGTACACATCTTAAAACTTGTGTTCATTGTTTGGCGGGTAAACAACATAGAGTTTCTTTTCAGAAAAATGTTGCTTCTAAAAAAGAAAATGTTTTTGAGTTGATTCATTCGGATGTTTGTGGTCGTTTAAAAGTTAGAACACATAGTGGTGCACTTTATTTTGTTACTTTCATTGATGATTATTCAAGGAAAGTTTGGGCTTTTCTACTAAAAACTAAAGATCAAGTTCTAGAAGTATTTAAGCATTTTTAGGCCATGGTTGAAAGAGAAACATGGCAGAAATTGAAGTGCATCCGATCAGACAATGGTGGTGAATACATTGGGCCATTTGATAAATATTGTCGCAGCCAAGGTATTCAACACCAAAAGACAGTTAAGAAGACTCCTCAACAAAATGGGGTTACCGAGAGGATAAACCACACCATTGTGGAAATAACAAGGTGTTTGCTTTCACAAGCTAAATTGCCAAGATTCGTTTGGGGTGAGGCAATGAAGACAGCGGTTGACGTGATCAATTTGTCTCATTCCTATCCTTTGAATTGTGATATTCCAGAACGAGTTTGGACTGGTAAAGATGTATCTTATGAGCACTTGAGAGTTTGGTTGTCGAGCTTTTGTTCACATTCCAAAGGATGAGAGGTCCAAGCTTGATAGTAAATCATGACACTGTATTTTTCTTGGTTATGGGCGTGATGAATTCGGGTATAGATTGTGGGATTCGGTCGACAAGAAAGTCATTCCAAGCCGTGATGTTGTGTTTCTTAAAGACCAAACAATTGAAGACTTTGGCAAAGGTGATCAACCGGAGCCAAAAACTAGTGATCTCATTGACATAGATCCATCTTCTTCATCTTCAGTTGATGATGAAAATTGGGGAGATATGCAGCCACCTATTGAAGAAGTGGAGGATGGTGCTTATCCTAATGAAGTTGAGCCAGAAATTGAGGAAGAGCATCCAACTCAAGAACCGCCATCATAACTTGAGTTGAGGAAATCTACAAGGGACCGGCAACCTTCAAAAAAGTATCCTCCCGATGAATTTGTGTTGATTTCTGATCAAGGGGAGCCCGAGAGCTACCAAAAAGCAATTGAGCATGCAAAGAGAGGTGATTGAAAAAAGGCCATGAAAGAGGAGATGAATTCCTTACTTGAAAATCACACCTATAATTTAGTGAAGTTGCCTAAGGGGAGGAAAATTTTGAAAAATAAGTGGATCTTTAAATTGAAGAATGATAATAAGAATCTGAGGTACAAAGCACGTCTTGTTGTGAAAAGCTTTGGGCAAAAGAAATATATTGACTTTGATGAGATTTTTTCACCAGTTGTGAAGATGTCTTCTATTCAGGTTGTACTTGGCATGGCTGCAAGTATGAACCTTAAAGTTGAACAACTTGATGTGAAGACCGCATTTCTTCATGGTGACCTTGAAGAAGAAATTTACATGGAGCAACCGAAAGGTTTTATGGAGAAAGGGAAAGAGAAATTTGTTTGCAAATTGAAGAAAAGTTTGTATAGCCTCAAGCAAGCCCCGCGGCAATGGTACAAAAATTTGACTCTTTCATGATGAATAATGGTTTTTCTAAAACCACTTCGAACCATTGTGTGTTTGTGAAAAATTTCCTAAATGGAAAATTTATTATTCTTTTGCTTTATGTTGATGACATGTTAATTGTGGGTCAAGATTCTACCATGATTAACAGGTTGAAATTGGAGTTGAGCAAGTCTTTTGCTATGAAAGATTTGGGGCCGGCAAAGCAAATACTTGGTATGAAAATTGTTCGTGATCGCAAAGAGGGGCTGACTTGGTTGTCTCAAGAAAGCTACATTGAGAAAGTTCTTGAGACGTTCAACATGAATAAAGCAAAGCCGGTTGGTTGTCCACTTGCAGGTCACTTCAAGCTTAGTTCGAATCAATGTCCTACAAGTGACAAAGACAAAGAAGAGATGTTGAAAGTTCTTTATGCTTCGGCAGTTAATTCTTTGATGTACGTCATGGTTTGTACAAGGCCCGATATTACTCACGCCATTGGTGTGGTGAGTCGATTTCTCTCTAATCTGGGTAAAGAACATTGGGCAGCGGTAAAATGGATTTTAAGGTATCTTCAAGGGACTTTGAAGGTGTGTTTGTGTTTTGGGGATGGTAAGCCGATGCTTGATGGGTTCACGGATTCTGACATGGCCGGTGATGTTGATTCTAGGAAATCTACTTCGAGGTATTTGATGACATTTGCAAGGGAAGCTGTGGCATGGCAGTCTAAATTACAAAAATGTGTTGCTCTCTCAACTACCGAAGCTGAATTTATTGCCATTATGGAAGTTTGCAAAGAAGAGTTATGGTTGAAATTTTTTTTGCAAGAGTTGGGTTTGAATCAAGAAAAGTATGTGCTTTATTGTGATAGTCAAAGTGCTATTCACTTGAGTAAAAATTCCACTTTTCATTCGAGATTGAAACATATTGATGTGAGATACCATTGGATTCGTGATGTGTTAGATTCGAAATTGTTACAACTCGAAAAGGTTCACACATATGATAATATTTCAGATATGTTGACTAAGACTTTATCGAGGGACAAACATTTGAAGTGTCGAACTTTGGCGGGTATGGTTGATATCTCCACCTAAGTCGGTAGGGCAAGAATTGTTGGGTATACCTCCTTAGTGGAGTTTGGAACCCAATAGGTTTGTTAAAAGAACTTTAATTTGGTTTGGTTTGAGTATAATATATTTTAATATATTATATCTAATTTGTGGAGGCCTAATTCAGTTTCGAAACAACTAAGGTTTTGATAAAAAAAACCCTAGATTCACAATATATATATTTGGTATTGTTTTTCCCAATCAAGGTGCAGCGGCAGCAGTGAATTCTTCTGTGAGGGAATTGTGCTGGCTAGGCAATTCAATTGGTGAATTCAAAGCTTGGTGGAATTTAATTCTATGGGTTTATTTTCGGCAGTCATTGTGTGACTAATTTGGTTCGTTATTTTGGGTCTTCTTCAACTCTGGTTCTGAAGATTTTTGTTCATCTATTTGGTAAGGTCTTTCCTCATGTTTATTTGTGATTATTTGGAATTCACCTAAGTGTGATTTTGTGAGACCATTCACGTCTCATTTGTAATCGTTCGAAAACTTTTTGGTTGATAGTGGAATCGAATTTCGATCGCATAGGCGTACCTCACATTGAGGAAACCACGTAAAAATTCTTATGTTGCCTTTGATTTAATTTTTACGCATTAATTTTTATTCTCATTGATTGATTTACTTGTGGGGAATCATATATTTTCCCTAACAGATGGGGAACTATGAGTGTAATTAATCCTAATATTATTATTAATATTTCTTGTACAAATTACATAAAGTTAGACAATTCTCTTGGACAATAAGTTGATTAACTAGTACTGTATGTAATGCCACATCAATATTGAGTTTAGTTAGCAAACTCCTATATGATAATGTTTGTCCATTTACATCAAGTGCATCAAGTGGCTTGTATTAGTTATATGATCCATCCACTATGATAACTGAAAAGAAAAAAAGTTTAGGAATCCAATTCTGTAATCGATTTCTGTGCAAGTAGACAAATTGTATTTGTATCTGTCAAATGGGTGGCTTTATTTATGAAAGCTGGGTTGTTGGACTCAAAACTGAGAGAGGAACTGCATCTGCTTGAGAAGAGGACTGAGAGTTTCCATGAGCTTGGCACAGGGATGGTTATGGATTCCCTCGTATGTTGTGACAACGATGCCGGTGTCCTTCGAGAGCCTCTGTATTTGTTTCTTTACATTGCAAGTATGATGTGTGCACCTATAGTAGCTCCTTTTGTCCATGTTAATTTGGTGAAAAAGAAGAGTAGAGAAAGATGGATGGTTAGTTAAAAGTTGCTCCAAAACACAAAATATGTAGGGAAAGAAACTATTTTTTTTTACTTTCTTGCAAGTGAGGATAATAATCGATAGTATTTATTTAATAACAACAATGCTATTAGGTACGAAACTATGAGAAAATTATGAGAGGTCATGGCTCCTATTTTTGTGAAAAATATTATTTGTCATAGAACTTTAAATATATATATATATATCATTTTATATATAAAATGGCCTCCAGTATAACAAATATATCTCATTATTCTCTCATCTTGTATTCTTTTTCTATTTTACATCAAAAAAAAACTTCTTCATCCTATTAGAAATTATTTCTATGGTATTTAAAAAAACATTCTATGTATATATAATTTATATATCATATTGTACACAAATGTGTGTGTATAATGAAAAAAAAAATATTTTTTCTTTTGACCCCTCTGATCATCCTGATTTCGTCTCTAAATGCTACGAATTCAAAAAAAAAAAAAAAACATATAGAAGTACTCTGAATTTGAAATGTGTAATTATTTTTTTGGATGACTCTGTATAATTGATTTCATATCTAGTGGCCTCTTTGAATGTCCCTTAAATTTCATTTGAGTTGCAAACCATTGTAATATAAAGTACAACATCTTGAATGAAATCATTCATAGTGAACAACAATTATCATGAAAATTATACCTAAAATCCTTTTTTTGTAGCTTTAATTAACTTATAAACCAACCATGTAAGAAACCTTTTATCTTTTTTTACACCAAATAGGTGAAGAAAAGCTATTCTCGCACCGATAAGGTTTGAATTGGTAAAAATGGTTCTTATTCACTAGGTCAACCCTTGGTTTCGAGAAGAAATTGATTAAAATCTACAATTTTCTAAATAACTTTATGCAAGATCATGGAGTCTTATATTTGATTTGTTATAAATTAGATAAATTGATAAAGAAAGAAATTTTTTCATGCATGTACTCCTTGTTGAAGCCCATTCAAACCATGGAAATATCCACAGCTAAATTTATCTTGCCCAGATCTAATTTATACATGGATTTCACAATACATCTATAGCGATTCTGATTTAGACCCGACCCATTTTGTATTCTGGACTCAGATTTCATGGTTTCATATTGTTATTCTTGTCTTATTTCCTTTATACCTCATTGAGTTTGGTTTTTGGGTTGTTTTGGTTGCGTTTGAAACAAGTTGGTAGCTTTGTTTTTAAACCCTTGTTTTCTAGAATTTTACTCCTCCACTCGAGCAACATTTCTTGGGCTTGAGCGAGGCTTTGTGAACTTTCAGTACTTTTGCAGGTCTACAAAACTATAGGGAGACTGCATTCTACGCTCAAGCGTCACTTTCTGCGCTCGAGCATCCTCAGCTCGAGCGACCTTTCTTGCGATTGAGCGTTGGTCTATTGTCTGCAAAACTACTGGGAATGTGTATTTTACGCTCAAGCGTCTCTTCCTACGCTCTAGCAGTGACGTCCTTTTTATTGTGTCTTGGTGCTCGAGCATTATTTTTTGCCCTCGAGGTGAGCAAATTTTTGTGTCTGGACGCTCAAGCATCCCTTCTTGTGCTCGAGCGGACTATGCATATATCAGTTCGTAAAAGTCACTTTTTCAGATCTCTCTCTCTCTCTCTAAAACTTTTCTAAACCCTAGATCTAAAGTTTCTCTTTCTAAAACTCACCCTCTCTCTACATTTTCACCTAGATCTAGTGGTTTCTCTACCCATGTGCCTTTATTAAAAAGGTAGAGCATCTCAAGGGCTACGTTTTCATTCAAATAGAGTTGGGTTTTGGCATTTTTTGAAGTGTCTTTATTCTCTCTCTCGTTTTCTAAACTTAAGCTAAGAATTTTCTACACTCTTCTATGGTTTTTAACTTAGTTATTTGTTTTGTATAAATAATATTGTGATTTCGGGTGAATTTGAACAAACCTATGGTTTTGATTTAAAATCAAAATAAGGGTTTATAAAGAGATGTATTGGAAATAGTTATGAGAGTGAATATGAAGTTGTATTGTAATAAAATTGTTAATTTTGATACTTGGGCTGAGTTTTTGGAAGGAATGGATGTTTGCTCTAAAATGTCTCAAATATTAATTTTGTATAAATAAAATGGAATTAGTATTGAAAATGTAAAATTGGGTGGATGGTGATATGGATGGTAGAGTTGGTTATGTAATTACCACTCACACTCTGAAATATGGATAATTTAGATGTCTCAAAGATTATATATCTATTTAGAAATATCTGTTTTGGGCTATCGGTGGAGGATAGCTATGATTATTGTAAAAATTACTTGAGAATTAGGTGAATTGAAACTAATCTTCTCATCTATTTGCATTAAACGTTGTCACACCTTTAATACATTGTGAATGTATGATGTTTGGGAGAAGAAATATGGTGTACTCTATGTTTGGGAGAAGAAAGGAGATGTTCTCCATTGAATTAAGTTGGCTAAAGTGTTCAGGATGAAAATCCCGAAAATCACGAATATACATGGGTACTGATTCCCACGGACGAAATATCCGTAAAATGGCAAATAGAAGTGTTTTGTATGATGGCTTTATTGGTTAGAGACCCACTGAGTTGTATCCTCAGTTTGGTTATTTGAATAAAATGGAAATGACTATTGAATTGAGATAAAATGGATCGAGATATAAGTTCGACATAATATGAGTTTACAAAAGAGTTATAAATGATTTTATCACGGGTATTGTATGTGCATATTACACTTATATCTTTATTAAGATTCATATATTTTGTTAGATTGTTTCTTCTGGGCTTTGGCTCACCCTATTTGGGAAAACCATTTTCAAGTATTAGTGATATGCCTCCACCAAGGACTTAGTTTGAAAGGACTGTGGAGCTGAAGGCTTAGTTGTTTATTTTTGTATTCTTCTTTGTACAATCCGAGGGCTTTATTTGTATTGAGCTTTAGACTCGTTTTTGTTGTAACTAAGCCTTGACTTGGAAAGATGTAAGCCTTTAGGGCATAAAATTATCTGTTTAACTTCATTTTCTTCTTACTGCTTGGTAACACATACTATAAATTCAGGATGTATTATTTATGAATGTATATCGCATGTGTCACCTTTTTGTACAACCGAATCTCATGTAATAAAAGAATATTGCATTCTAACTCGCACTATTATTTACTTATTGTCTTGGTGGGTTTATTACTTTGATTTCAGAGCGTTACAACTTGGTATCAGAGTGTACGTACTAAGAAAGTGGTTATTACCACAATGGGTTTATCTCACTTGATAAGGACATTAGTATGTACAGTATACTTAGGTGACAACATGCTTACGTGACTAGATGGGTATGGGATTTGATTCCTAAGATATTGATTGGGTCTACGGGTTTTTAGGAGTCTTGTTAGAAGAACACTTAATCACTGCTGTTTCTAATTGGAACTCTAGCAACACCATAAGACGGTTATTATCTAAGAAGGAAATCCATATGTGTGTATGTGACTACGTGCTTACATGGAATGAATTATTGTTATCTACCGCATTAGGATGCGAGTGATTTAGCTTCGGCACATTTGTAAATATGCTAATCTCTTTTGTTACCTTTTATTAGGATGTCAGGATGTGGACGTGGACGTGGACGTGGACGTGGTCGTGGTAGGCCTAGAAGGCATGAGGTGCCTTTACCGAATAAGATTCCGACGCAAGAAGAAAAGGTTGGTCAGGCCAATGTGGCCAAACCAGTTGGTCATCAGGCTATGGGCGCCTTAGCCCGCGAAATGGTCAGAGCATAGCGGGAATCTATGGATATTCTCAGGGCTAAGAGTCAAGTCCAGACCCAAGTGGCTGAGGCAGGGCCGTCATTCTTGAAACAAGAGTTTTTCCGGTCAAATCCAGACGAGTTTTTTGGTGATCCCAAGGAGCCATTGAAGGTGGATGAGTGATTAAAGTAGATGGTGAAGACGTTTAAGATGCTCGACATTGAAGACACAGGTTTGAGGGTAACCTTGCATTCTTCCAGCTGAAGAGAAACGCAGGTCAATGGTGGAAGTATGCATGATAGCGTATTGGAGTGACTTGAGAGGCTTTTATCAATGCTTTCCAAGATAAGTACTTGTCGTTCAAAGTTAGGGAGAAGTTGAGAGATCAGTTCTCCAAGCTTGTGCAGTTGAATACTCCGGTGGCTAAGTTTAAGGCCACGTTTACTAGCTTGTCGAGGTTTGCACCGAAACTTGTAGCGACTGAGGAGCACTATTGTTTAGAGTTCGAGAAAAGGCTACGGACCGGGCTCACGTTCAAAGTGGTCGGGTCCATGATTAGAGATTATGGGTGCCTTGTAGAAGCGGCAGCTCATCTTGAGATCGTAATATAGATGGAGAAGGAACGAATGAGAGGCTTCAAGAGCAGTCAGGATATTCAAGGGTACAGCAAGAGGCAGAGGGGTTCTAACCCACAGCAATCCCAGGGAGCTCAAGCGAGGTCCACTTTTCTAGTACCGAGTTTAAGTTCTGAGAGAGGTGGCCAGGGAGATGTCACTTGTTTCAAGTGTAGCCAGTTAGGCCACAAGTCTCTAGCTTGCCTACAGAGGGAAAAGAGGACAACGGTCTGCATCGTCTTGGGCTTGTTTTCAGAGCAGAGCCAGGGGAGAGGGCAGCCGTTTGCTTGTTATTAGTGTGGGAAGGCGGGACACATGAAGAGATTTTGCACACAGTTGGATAGCACACCTAGTGCGTCTGGTTCGAGGCAAACACAAAGTCACCAGCCTGTACAGTCAGTTCAGGTCTCGAGGGCCAATCAAAGAGCCTCTTCGGCTCAGTCAATGCATCAAGCTTATGCTTCGAAGGGTGAGTAGGTAGAGCAGAGACCTTCAGGGCGCGTGTATGCTGTTACCGCGCCAGACCTAGTACCAGCGCCTTCGGTAGTGAGAGGTACTTTCTTGTTATGCAATTCCATTGCTAATATGTTGATTGATACGAATGCAT